ATATGTATATATATATATAATTAATAAAGTACTATGAACAAGACTGTATATACCTCTATATATCATACGGTATAATGTGAAGGTATTGCAGTTTATATAATAGCAGTGTAAAGCATTACATGATACCAATGGATGTGCTTACTCGTGGTTTTGGCTCCCTGTCAGAATCGGGTCATCCAAGCTCTAGGTTGGATGCTGTCGTGGCAATACCCGATCCATCAAGGCCCTGGCGGCGAAGCGCAATCCCATCGATTTGGTGCTGATTATCGATGTTTCGTATTCCATGAGCCCAGCGATGGAAGATGCATCTTGTCGTAGAAGCATTTCTGGGGATGCTAAATATTTGCCACGGCATGCCACGGCTCTGTTATCAATTTAGATTCTGTGTGACGCTGCGTCCATTCAGCCCGCCAGCTTACATTGTGGGTACACTGAAGTTCACATTGCCGCACTTGTCGATGCCGATGGCCTCTGTGAAGTTGAAGCTGCAATATCTCCAAGTTCATTGACGGTTTTGCCACTGCATTCTGAGCGAGTGAGCAGGTGAGTTAGTGCGTCAGTCAGTAAGGCGGCCCGCCAGAGCCAGTCAGTCAGTGAGTGAGTCAGTCAATCAGCCTGACTGCCTGACAGACAGGCGGTCGGTCATCAGTGAGGTTCTTTAGCATAATGGGTAAGTAGGTCCAGGTGGGTAGCTAGGTAGGGACTTAGGTGGATAGGAAGGTGGCAGCTGGGTAGGTTGGCAGGTAGGTATGCTGGTCGGTATGCAGGTAAAGGGGGCAGAGGCAAGTAAGCCGTCAAGCACGTGTGTGTACATGTACGCGGTTGTGTGCAGATGTGTGTCTCTGTGTGTGTGTGTGTGATGGTATTTTTGATTCGGCATGTGTACGCCAGGGACACATTCGCAGATGCTGTGATTTTGTGGAAAGGGGGAAGTTGTTAGCCTGGTAGAACGGAGAAGGATCAGGCTCTGTTGGGATCGGCGGGAACCCTTAGATTCAGAAGCAGGGCAGAGTGCGATTCAGTGCCAGTAGGTTTATGCTATCATCGTTTTCGTGGCCTCGGATACAGTGCAGTCCGCGGAAGTGCTATCTTCATCTTGACCGTTCACGGAAGTGAATTGACCAGAATCCAGGTTAGATACATGCACTAACATGGCTTGCTTCTTTGGTTTCTGTGCTTAGATGCCCACGACCCAAAGACAGTTAAAAGTTGGGATGACATGTGTGCGAGCATGGCCTTCTGGGGTTGGGTAGGAGGAAGTTCGGCATTACATTTCCAGCCTTCCTGGTTGAAATTACAAAGCAGACAGGTGCGGGAGACTTGCCGACAGATCTTCAGCGAACTCCACAGCCAAGACCGCATCTGCGCGAAGCTGAGGAAGTCACCAGGGATCCAGCCCATCACCAAGCTAGCAATGAAACATGCAGCCATCTGGAAAGCGCATGAACACGTGGTGGTTTCTTATACTCAACAGTGGCTTCGCAAAGCGTTGCCTCAGAGTGGTGTTTCGTCGCTTTTCGCGCAAACCCCTATCAGACGTATTAGACCTTACTGTCCTGCCGTTGTTGTTCTTTGCTTAACCTGCATAGATAGATAGACTCTTCATATTGGCAGGTGCCGCAATATTAGGCCTCAGCCCTCCTAGTCAGATTCTCAGCAGTAGCACTGATGATTCGAGCCTCCTTTAAGGCCCCTTGTCTTCCAAGGCTTGGTCACCTTCTCCGCAAAAGCCAACGTGGTTTTGCCCCTGACTCCCAAAGATCAAGTGCAGGACATTCAAAGGGTTCGGGCTGCCGACCCTGACAGGGTCTTAAACAGGTCTAAGCGCTGCAACTTGCAACGTCGAAGCCGTGCTGCCTTCCCCGGAGGCTAACCTTCGGGTTTGCCGTGGATTGCAAGCAACTCTGCTCAGCAGAACTCTAGACCCTATCGCTCTACAGGGCTTTTGTTAAGATTAGCTGTCACGGATGTCTGGACAGCTCCATGCCATCACATCCATCATACCAGGAATCTCTGGTCAACTGCACCGAGTGCGGCGGCAAGAAACGAAAGCATAGGATAGCAGATGCCATCTGCTCTGCATGACTCCATCCGAAAAATGGTGAACGTCCGATATGGGGCTTTTTGGTCAAGTATTGCTTGAACCGCAAGCTGCCTTCTCGAAATGGGCAGAATTCACGAAAGCGTCCCAGCAGAAGCCAGAAGGACTTCAACGGGTATTGCTCGCAGCTCAAGGAGGACTCACGTGCGAACTTGCAGTTCGCACTTCAGTGGTAGAGTACGCATGCAGACATGGCATACCGAGGTGTTGTCTCACTGTTCAGCGTTTTGCATCGGCGCTGTGTATAGCCACTGCAGAACTGCCGTGGATTGTTCGTGCTTCGAGCTTCTGCATACTATGTGCAGGAGTCGTGCACCAACATTGAAGCGGGCCTGAAGGCATGTCTCCAGCATTCGATCAGCTTTGTTTGATTTTATTTTGCACTCTCCTGTTGTTGCAGCGATTTCGCCAAGTTCTTCGGGGTGCTTCAAGTAGGAAGCCCACCGCGTCCCTGCTGAAGCGGAGTGCCCCTGCTGATCCCCAGACCCGTGAACTGCATGTTCCGCTGAACCTGACCACAGGAAGGCCTTCGGCAATTGGCGTCCTGGCGGCAGAGGGGCCCGTCGGATTCGGGTTTGGGAATTGGTTAGTGGGCTTTGTTTACAGTTCTTTCGGAATCGACATCTTGTCTGGGCCAAGTCATGAGGAGACGCCACTTAGCGGGTTCTGGTTCCTAAACTCAATCCTAGCATCCGAAGACGCTGTCGCGCATTGCAAAAGACCCCCCAACGTGGCCGGAACACTTGCAGCAACTTGTGTCCATCCTTTGCTGGCTGAGAACACTACAGTCGCCCGCAACGGCTACTGGCCGTTTTGCCAAATGACCGGTCGACCCGTTGATCAGGCCCGGGGCATGTGAGCAAGAGCACGCCTTGCTTTGCCGGGAATCCAAGGGATGAAGAGACATTTTCTGTGAGTGGGCTTCTGTTCCGGGGCTAGCAGTGCACGTTAATGTTGTTTGTTGGTTGTTGGTTGTTGGTGAGCAGGCGAAACCAATGCGAAGCTTTAAAAAGGGTACCTTGACATTTGTCGTTGTTCCAGTTGTCTTCAGGCCCCTGCGACCCCTCCACCTCCCAACTCCGACTCTCCTTCTGTGGGCCCTAAATCCGTATAAGCCCTAAACGTTAAAAACACCTACAACCTGGACACCCCTAAACCCTAAACCCCTAAAGCCCAAACCGTGAGGTCCCCTCGTCGCATACGGCCGTGTCTATCCTCCTCTCAGATGGACAGCCGAACGAAGGCTTCACGAGATCGGAGGCCCTGCAGATCCATTCTAACGTAGGGCTTTTGGGGTGTATACGTAGGGTTTAGGGTTTGTCGAGTTCAGGGGTGTTGAGGGTTCAAGGCCGTATTCTGCTTGCTACGGCCAATCTCAGTCTGCCTTCAAATAAGAAGTAAAGAAGTAAGCAGGGATAAGAAGGGGAAGAACCATAAAGAACCAGACCCCGCTGCAACAACGGTGCGCCACATCAGGGCCATTCATGTTTAGGATTTAGTGTTGTTCGCATGTCGCGATGCCGACTGTAGAGGTTTCCGGAAGAACATGGTCCTCAAATCCCAATGTCACCCGTTTCGGCAGCATGGAGGACTTGCTTCGTCTCGCCGAAGATGAGATGAGTGCCACGCAGCGATCTGTACCCGTGGCCGCCATTAGTTCGAACCTGTCGTTTGGGGCGTGACGCTTCGATCCGGCTGTTGTGGGATGGAGGAAACGCGCGGCCCTAAAGTGCAAATGCGATAATGCGAATAAATGGCTGCTCTCATGCAAATCGTCAGCAGGTCAGCCGGCAGAAGGCCCAATAGGGTCTATAGAAGTTCTAGAAGCATCGCCGCGACTAGATTCTCACCATCCTAGAGCGGGTCCGTTCGAACATGTGGCACCGTATGAGCTTGACCTTGATGTTGCTCGAGGACGAATCGCGTCACAGCATCAGCCAAACTGATTTGGTCAGATTCGACAGTGTTCCAACCTTTCCCGCAAAACAGCTGTCGCGTACCGCCGTACATCAATGCCTCCTATACAGCATAATGCAGACAACTCGCAAGAGAGTGTGCTTTTGACACGTTCAGGTAACGCTTCACGCCTTCGGCTTCACCTCCGGCCACGCAATAGAGATCATGCATCTTGCTGGAATGAAACAGTGGTGCTGTCCTGGTATGAAGACGAAACATGTGCGTTTCGAACTCAGCAGGATGTCAAGGTGTCTAGCAGGCTTCATGCAAAGTCCTCCTGTCGGCACGCGGCCATGAAACCCAAAACCAAATCTGTTTGTGAAGCCCTCAACCCTCGGCTCAGGAGTAGCTTGCCATCGAAAAGTCTTCACCTCAGCTGGACCTAGAGTTGCTTCCACGATTGCTTTTGCAGCGCTGGCGTCTACGAGGCAATGGCCCAGTTGGGAGCTACTACTATCTCGAGCAGTCCTTGGACATCGCAGCCGCCGCCGTCTCAGCCGATCAGGGCCTGGGGTTCGGGATGTTCGGGCAACACCTACTTAGGGGGTGGTGAGACGTTGTGTAACCTCATTTTTCTTTCAGGATCGATGTTCCCTCTTCGTAAGCCTCGCATACGGCTAACACCGCCACTTATTACTGTTTCTGTTTGCGATGTTTAGCATTCAGCTCCTGCCACCTGCAAGGCTGTCGGAGACTGCCTGGGAGCAGCTTCCGCGCATCGTGTCTGCCAAGGCATTGTTCGTCAGACAGCATGTTTGCTGAACATAGGACACCCCAATGTAGGACCCCAATAGTAGGATCCTGTATTGCAAAACTAAGTAGGGACGTTTTTTGCCTGCAACCAACACGCACGTATCGAGAGCTTCTCGGAGGCCTGAAATTTCGTATGTCGCTGCCAGAGAGCAAAGGAGGCCGGGTGCTTGTTGTGCAGTTTGGGCCTTGATAATTGGAATAGGATTTTGGGATATGTTCGAGTTGTAGCAGGGAGCCCTAAAAGAACCATCCTGGTAATTGTTAAGGCCTTTAGAGTAGAGATCTACTGCGCGACTTCACATCGAAGATGCGAGGCGACAGCGGATGGTTTGTCAGGGCCCAAGCGTCTCTTGGAGAGTCGAGACGATTCCAGGTCGGTGCCTGGGAGCATGCCGAATAACAAAAAACCTACGAGTAAGTCCGCTTATTTATTTTCTTGCTAATTAGTTCCTGTCTGACGGTCCCGTCTGCCAGGGCCCACCCATTGGTGATGACTCTGAGGCGTGGCATCGGCTGTAGAGCGAGAGATACACGAAACTGAAGCACTGGCAATTGAAGAGTCTGTAAAGGCTGAAATTCGTGCCCAGCCCTCGACAAGCGAATTCCTTCTTAGTCGCACTATTATTGCGACTGTGATGGCCACTCACCAACAGGTTTCGCGACATGCTCCAAACTCACCCCTTAGCCCGTCATGCCCGTCGCGGTTTGCATGACGGCTAGACATCGCAAGACCCAACCTCTGCAGCCGTTCACGAGCAGTCATTCTTCATACCATTGCAGGATGCGCCGCTGCTTGGAATACAGGCCTCCGCTGAACATGACGGAAGCTGCTTCGCTTCGCTCATGTTGTTGCGTTGGCACAAGGAACCGATGCTGGTCCCTCCTGAAGCCTCAAGACAGGATAGGCAGCACACACACACACACACTCTCTCTCTCAATATATATATATATAGATATATAGACATATAATTGACTATTATATGTGCTTGTATATATATATATATATGCACATACACACACGTGTATATGCATGTATGTGTATTTACGCGTAAAGAGCACATGCAGACACACGGTGGATTATAGGCATGTTTGTGTGTACATGTATGCGCGCGCGTGTGTGTGTGTGTTTATGATTATGATTATTATTATTACTATTATCATTTTTACTATTATGTCTAGTATTCTTCTTCTTCTTCTGATTATTATTATTAATGTTATTCTTATTCTTGTTATTGTAAGAAGAATGATTATGATTATATTTATGAATATGGTTATGATGATGATGATGATGTTTATTTTGGTTATGATGATTTTGATGATGATGATGATGATTATTATTATACTGTATATTTTTTATTATGCTTATTATATAATATATATATATATAATTATGTCCGTATACGTTCGAGCTTTTCGCCAGGCCCGTGACTGCAGGGAGCTTGGGGCACTGGCGGCAGAGGAGCAGCAGGCCTTCTGGGCTGGGCGTCGTACCTAAATCCTACAACCCTAAACCCTAAACCCTACACCCTAAATCCAAAACCCTAAACCCAAAACCCTATCAATAACCCGCCGTGCCACACTGCAGCTCAGGGACACCGATTCAACCTTATGGCAAAGCATCTTGGAGCTGAACCAACATGGGAGCCGTAGCTCCTAATGCTTGGGAGCCCGGATCCAAAGTCGGGCATTGTTCACTGCACTGTCGAAGCAGGATGCGAAGACTTGCAACAGAACGATCAGGAATGTAGTGCTGAAGAAGCCGGTGCTGTGCTGCGTTGCCTGGCAGGCACAGCTTTATGCCGCAGGCTCAGGTGAGCCTTGATGTCCTGGATTTTGTTCAGAACCCATCATGGCGCAGTAGTGGTACTTCTGGGCTATGTTTCAAGCCCACAAATTGCCTAAGCCTTAAACGCCAAACCACGAACCACGGTTGCATTCAGCGCTTCGCCTGAGGTCGTGCAAGAGGATTTGAAGAAAGCAACGCTGCACCTCTCATGGGAATCCGAGGCCCGTAGGAGGGTACAGTGCTAAAGGCAGACTCCTCAACCCTGCAAAATCCTCCGGTTCGCTCCTTCCGCAGTTCAGTTCTACTGCTGCTATCACAACAACGACGGCCACGAAAACGACGACAACAACAGCAACAGCTACAGCAACAGCTGCAGCAACAGCTACAGCAACGGCTACAGCAACGGCTACACCTGCAGCTGCAACTACAACTCCAACTACAATCTATATACAACAACTGCTGTTGCTGCCACTGCTGCTGCTGCTGCTGCTACTACTGCTAGACTTACTTCGGCCGTTGTCTATACCACCATGCGACTGGAAAGCGTTAAAGCCTTCGAGGGTGAGATCCCGTCAACACTCGGGATAATGGGGCATGTATTACATATCTACAATCTACACACATACAGAGGGTCTGATGTGTTCTTACGGTCGCATTACGGACGAACATAGGACTCTGCATAGCCGAGAGAGCATATTCGGCCCCTTTTAGGGTCTCATGGGGCATTCATGCTAGCCATCGGTTGATTGCGTGGACCCTCCAAGGAGTACGACTTCCAAGTGCAGGGGGATTCCTGAAAAGTAGGGGTCCTGTCTTGGACGTCTTTATCTCGAGGATCCTACTAGTACAGCGTTACTCATAGCTTGCTTTCGTTTGGGGCCTTCCATTCATCATTCTGGACCTCGGACATTCAAGCCCGGAGGTTCCACAGGCCCGGAGAGTGGGCTGGAAACAGCAAGAATGACAGAGGCTGTAACAGGAGCAGTATTCCGAAAGCCTACTACAACTAGAAATGAGCCCAGGAAGTAACCTAAAGCTATCTGACCATATCCGAGCCATTCTAAATTTGCCAGGGCGAGACGCAGCTCTTCGCATGCGACCTGGACCTCTCGGCCCTGGTCGGGCTGTGCCCGGCCTGGATCATGAGTGCTTTTCCATGTCTTGTCGTGCTTTTTGTTCTTCTTGCTGTGGTCATCAGCTTGTCAAAATTATGGTTGCTTGGTTTTGAAGTATCTATGTTCACTTTTTCTTCTTGCATTGGTCATCTATCGTTTGATTTCAAAGCCTCACCAAGTACTGTTGATGATATAAATCCTGCATTACCTCAAGGACCCCAGACTATGGGAGTTATGGTAT